TTTTTTTGCAGTTTTTGTCTGGGGCTGGGTTTGAACCCGCCACCTCTGGCATATGGGGCTGGTGCCCTACTCCTTTGAGCCACAGGCACCGCCCTGATGTGAAAAATTTTTACATGAGTGAAAAATAAATGTCTGTTTATAAAGCTATAGGGACTTCAATATATGTATACTGAGCAATGGTCTCTAACAGAATGTAAAATAAACAATAAAATGCCAATAAGTTAGATTGCTACAGAAACACAAAAGCTTCTAAATATGCTCACCACGCTCAAACTATTTTTTTTTTTTTTTTGCGACAGAGGCTCAAGCTGTCACCCTGAGTAGAGTGCAGTGATATCACAGCTCACAGCAACCTCCACCTCCTGTACTCAAGCGATTCTCCTGCCTCTGCCTCCCAAGTAGCTGGGACTACAGGCACCCGCCACAATACCCAGCTATTTTTTGGTTGCAGCCATCATTGTTGTTTGGCAGGCCCAGGCTGGATTCGAACCTGCCAGCTCAGGTGTATGTGGCTGGTGCCTTAGCCGCTTGAGCCATCGGTGCCGAGCCACCACTCTCAAACATCTTAACGTGAAGTTAGAGGATTATTATATACACAAATTAAGACAGTTTTCAAAGCTGTAGACAATAAGTGCCAGATTAATGTTGCAGACAGACAATAAATGCTTCCTAAGCAAATAGAATCCCCTTAACCATGGGGGAGGGGGGGAAACCTAACATAAAAGGGGACCAATTCAATAACAAGAGTGTTAGCTAGATAACAGATTAGAAAAATTGTCAGACTCCGGGGCACCTGTAGCTCAGCGGCAAGGGTGCCGGCCACATACACCAGGGCTGGCGGGTTCCAACCTGGCCTGGGCATATTAAACAACCATGACAACTACAACAAAAAAATAGCCAGGTGTTGTGGTAGGCACCTATAGTCTCAGCTACTTGGGAGGCTGAGGCAAGAGAATCTCTTAAGCCCAAGAGTTTGAGGCTGCTGTGAGCTGTGAGACCACAGCACTCTACTAAGGGTGACATAGTGAGACTCCATCTGAAAAAAAGAAAAAAAATTTTCAGTTCTATATAAAATTACCATGAGTAGAAATTGTGAGACCTAATAATAGCTTAATAAGACACAATAACAGACTATAAAGCACTTAGTAAATTTAGTAATTGGTAAAACTATAAAGACTCCACTCTGTCTCCATAAGAACAAAATAATTCCACTTACAATACTCTGCTATTGTGTTTATTCTTCCACATAAGAGGAGTGAACACCATGCTCTTCTATGTTTTGGGCTTCATTGATATACACGCTTTTTTAGAATATTTGATTTGGTTCTTGTTTTGAAGTTTTGAAGTCCAAGACTATCAATTCAGCAACTTACTTAAAGATTTATTCAAGACATTTGTTATGGCCAGGCATGGTGGCTCATTCCTGTAACCCCAGCGTTCTGGGAGGCCAAGGCAGGTGAATCCCTTGAGCTCACAAGTTTGAGACCAGCCTGAGCAAGAATGAGACCCCGTCTCTAAAAACTAGCCAGGCATTGTGGCAGGCACCTGCAGTCCTAGCTACTTAGGAGGCTAAAGCAAGAGGAATCACTTGAGCCTAGGAGTTTGAGGTTGCTGAGAGCTGTGACCACATGGCACTCTACCAGGGCTAAGAAAGTAAGACTCTGTCTCAAAGAAAAAAAGAAATTTGTCATTATGTGCTGGGGAATCTATTACATGCCAGTGAATGACTAGTCATTAGCAACAAATGAGTTCATGAACAAAATGTTCCTCTAGATCAGTGGTTCTCAACCTTCGTAATACCTTCTAATGCTGTGACCCTTTAATACAGTTCCTTATGTTGTGGTGACCCCCAACCATAAAATTATTTTCATTGCTACTTCATAACTGTAATCTTGCTACTATTATGAATCGTAATGTAAATATCTGATAAGCAGGATGTATTTTCATTGTTACAAAGGCGTCGCGACCCACAGGTTGAGAATCGCTACTCTAGAAGAAAGTATGTTTGGTGTTAAAACAGGATAGATGGTAGAGAGTCCGTGTGATGGAACCACGGATAACCTGGGGATGTCAGAGAAAGCTTCAGATTTAGTGTCCATTTGAGCCAGACACGTGGAGATGAGGTGAAGAGGACTTTTTCAGGCAAAGCCCACAAGGGGAGGGATTTCTAGAAGGAGAGAATGTCCTGCGTAAGTACTTGGAGTTGCAAAAGGAAGCGTGGGCCGTGGTCCTAAGGCAGGCTTTGCAGGTTGTGGGAAGGAAAGGAAAGAGCTGAAGGAGTTTGCGGTGGGCTGCTTGGCGTGGGTAACCACTGAGCTGGTGAGCATCCCAGCGACACGCCCAGATCTTCATTTTGTCTTGGAGGAGGGGAGGTCAGGGATACCTCTGGCTGGTGAGCATCCCAGCGACACGCCCAGATCTTCATTTTGTCTTGGAGGAGGGGAGGTCAGGGATACCTCTGGCTGGTGAGCATCCCAGCGACACGCCCAGATCTTCATTTTGTCTTGGAGGAGGGGAGGTCAGGGATACCTCTGGCTGGTGAGCATCCCAGCGACACGCCCAGATCTTCATTTTGTCTTGGAGGAGGGGAGGTCAGGGATACCTCTGGCTGGTGAGCATCCCAGCGACACGCCCAGATCTTCATTTTGTCTTGGAGGAGGGGAGGTCAGGGATACCTCTGGCAACAGGGGTAACAGATGAGGAAATAGAATAACAATATTTTTTAACATTGGATTCAATGGAGACATTTGATGGATGAAGGAGGTAGTGGGATTATATGGCATGGGGACTCTGGGAGACATTTCCTGAGGTGGTTTCATTCAGCCTCTTTTGTAGGAATTAACTTCCAAGCGCTAATGTGGCAAACAGAAATTTTACTCAAACCACTACTGCCACCCAGTGGAAACATGGCAAACCCCCCACGACAGGGTTTAAAGTCAATATTCAGTGTTGGTCGTGCCCTTGCCAGTTTTCACCCAGTCTTTTTTTATTATCTATCCCCTCCCCTCTCCCCAAACTGAATCTGTGATTTACAAAACTGAAAAATGTCATTTACTGATAATTTTTCCCATTTTTATAAATCAGAAACATAAATAAATGCCAATCAGAGCTTCTGATCCATGATAATCAACAAGTATTTGTATTTTGAGTTGATTTCATTCTGATCAAAATAAACTTTTTTTTTTGGTAAAGACAGAGTCTCACTTTGTCGCCCTCAGTAGAGTGCTGTGGTGTCACAGCTCACAGCAGCCTCCAACTCCTGGGCTTAGGCAATTCTCTTGCCTCAGCCTCCCACGTAGCTGGGACTACAGGCGCCCACCACAGCATCCGGCTATTTTTTGTTGCAGTTTAGCCAGGGCTGGGTTTGAACCTGCCACCCTCGGTATATGGGGCCGGTGCCCTACCCACTGAGCCATAGGTGCCACCCATAAATAAATGGTTTGCTCAGTCTGTGCAGTCTTTACTAAAACAGATGCTCAATGTTTTAGTTCTCTTGTTACTATTTTTTAATAATGAGAATAGTTTGCAAAGATGCTACCTGCAAAGTGATCCTGATTTAGGGCCTAGGTGCAGGGGTCCTCAAACTTTTTAAACAGGGGGCCAGTTCACTGTCCCTCAGACTGTTGGAGAGCCGGACTGTGGGCCCTGGGACTAGTCGGCTGCTAAGCAGGACAGGCAGCAGTGACAAAAACACCCAGTGGGCCGGATAAATGTCCTGGGCAGGCTGTAAGTGGCCCTCCAGCCGTAGTTTGAGGATGCCTGGCTAGGGGATCATTGATCTTCAGTGGGTCTCAACAGGGGGGCAACTGTGCTCCCCAGAGGACATTTGTCAACATAAGGAGACATTTTTGGTTGTCAAACCTGGGTTGTGGGTGCTATTGGCATTTAGCAGGTAGAGGCCAGGGATGCTGATAAAAATCTTATGATGCATAGGAGAAGCCCCACAGTAAGAACTTTTTGGCCCCAAATGTCAAGTATTGAGGTTGAAAACTCTAATCTAGGCCAATTCCTGACCTATAGTGTACAAAGGAAGAAGATAAGATCTGGAATAGTTAAATGAGTTTTCCTTTTATTTTATAATTTTAATTTTTAAATTAGGCAATACATTCAAAGGAAAGTTCCAAAAGTAGAACAGAAAAAGATATATAGGATTTGAACAGATATTTCTCCAAAGAAAACAAACAAATGGCCATAAGCAATGAAAAGATGCTCAACATCATTAATGGGAAATGCAAATTAAAACCACAGTGAGATACTGTATTATACCACTAGTATGGCTATAATTAAAACAGTAAAAATGGAAAAGAAAAAGTGTTGGTGAGAATATGGAGATATTGGAACTTTCATACATAGCTGGTTGTGGAGAGTGGACCATGAGGCGGCAGGGCCAACACAGCCTGGGGAACATTGAGGGAATGAACCCTCAACTGCTTCTTCTCCTTCCCCCAAACAACCATATTCCTTTCTTCATGCTCCCTCTGCCAGAAGTCACATAGCTCTTTCTTTGTCTAGTTACTTTTTAGGAACTATGCAGAAATCCTTGTGATCTTTCCCTTTTTACTTCTTATAGTTAAGGAAGTTAAGTAGAAACCATTAATAGGATGATTTATCTTTGTTAAAGTTATTTACATTTTCCAATCATACTGTAGGACCACAGATATGCCTTTTGTCTGTGGTACTTCCCCATAGACAACCCTGTCAAGATACTATAAAATAAAGCTGATTTTGTGCTTTGGTGCTGGCTGCAGCCATCGGCTCTCTCAGAACTCCTGATCCCATCTTTCGTCTCTGGGTCTTCTCTTGTGTTCTATATTCCTCAATCCCCGCCACTTCCACTCTGATTCGTTCCCCTTCCCTGTGCAGGCTCGTGAAAGCTAGTGGGAATGTAAAACTGTAGCTGCTGTGGAAAAAGCTTGGCAGTTCAAAAAGTTATGCATAGATTTTGTGTGTGTGTGAGAGACAGAGTCTTTTTTTTTTTTTTTTAATTTATTAGGCATGTATATGTTTATTTTCCTTTAGGTGGTATTTTTTGGAAAATTACACTTTCAAAGAATCAGCCTCTACAAAATGAAATCTTTCCAAAAGATTTCCAAAATCTTTCCAAAAATGATATCTAGTATCCAGATTCTCAAAACTCACAAAACCAATTGGAAAGTCTGGTTGTCAGCCAATGGTGTTATACCCACATCAGTTTCACATCAAAATAATAATCTACAGCTAATTTCATTAGTCAAATTCCAATTCTAAATATTACTAGAAACTACCATGTTATTCTCAATTGTGTTGACAATTATCTTATTGCTGAATTGTACATTATAATTTTTCTTTGGCAACTTTCATTTATTAATTACCACAATGGGACACCTAAAAGATCTGTATTAACTTAGTACTTCAAAACTTCACCGTTTAAATGTAATTTGTGATAGATGCTAGAATAGGAAAGCCTCTAAACATGCCTAAGAACAGCCAACAACAACAAAAAAATTGCTAAATAATCACTACTAAAAGCTTTTCAGTTGTTAAATATAAGTATATAATTCAGTTCAATATTACCAGTGAAAATATTAGTGTTAGCTCTGATTCTCTTTAAGAACTTCTATGACAAAGGACAAAAAAAAGGAGAAGAAAATAACATCAGGGTATCTGTCAATTTTTCTGGAAGGTTGTTTCATATAAATTTAAAATGACCTAAAATTGGCCAAAATATAACATGAATTTTCACTATCATACCTCATAAACTTACACTTGAAGTACACTGACAGCTTGTTAATTCTTAATTCTTATTCCATAGAATAAGCCTATTTTGGAAGCTTGGCACAACAGTAACAAGAAATTTAAACTGGAAGCAAAAGTCCAGAAATGTAACTAAAAAATCTTTTCTCTATATAATAAAATCATCAACTTAAATTATAAGTGGCTTCCACTAAAAATTACCACTCCAAAATTCACAAAAGGAAATTAATAGATATGGTAGAAATTGCACTCTGAAATATGCAGTATGTTCATATTACAAAGATAAATGATGAAGGTTAACCAGCAAATATTCAAATAGGTAAGTAGGCAAATATTTGTATGCAAACTTTCATGAATAAGATACAAGAAATGATTCACTTGGATAATTTTATGTACAGCTTGTATACAATTTAAAACAAGTACAACTGAAAATGGTTCTATGGAAAAGCCACATAAAGTCAAATGAAATACTAAACAACAGTCTTATAAATTGGTCTCTCTTAGGAGTTCTCAGAAGAATAACCCAGTAATGTAATTCTAAGAAATGCCCTCTTCTTGATCAATCATTTCTGTTTTTACTGAAAACACATCTGCCAGCATATGCTTTGGAATTTCTGAACCTCTGACTTTCAAAGCATAACAAGCATTCTCCACTTTGGCCAGACTCTGTTTCAAGGTATACAGCTTTTTAGAAACCTCATATGGTCCAGTGTTGCCAATGAATGAAAATCCATCATAAACCTGCCGTAAAAACTGGCTCACTTCAAAGGGGGTGTCAATGTCCCCATTCCCCACACTGTTAATACACATCCGCATCAATTCTCCAGTTAAATCAGCCACTCCTAGAAGGTAATCCACAGGTGTGATTTTCAGGCTCCAAGTGCCAAACTGTTTATCCTGTGCATCAGAAGAGGGAATCTTATTTTCTTTCCCGTTGTCTTCAGTTGTAAATATCAATTGCTTATTAATTTCATCCATACTGATTAATGATCGTGTTTTGATGAAGTACTGAAAAGAGACAGCTTCCACATATTCTTGCAGTCCTGTAGTAATGGCTCTATGGAATTGGTGCATGTCTTCTCCTGACGGCTCCTGTGCTACCTGCAGTATCTTCTGTCGGACACCATCCAGTTTAATTTCTGATTCATTCAGTATTTCTTCCATATCAGGAGCACTCGTAATCCTATGGAGTAGAAAAATAGCCCTTTTACTTTCAACAGTTATATCCCGACTAAGTTTCACAAGTCTCTCATATTTGTCATGCCTTGCATCAAGCTCCTGCTGAAATGATTTGAAGGCCAGCATCACGGGTGAAGATGAATTAACATCCCTCCCTTCTCTTCTTTGGTTATGTGGAAAATTGTCATGCTTCCTTTTCCTGAACCCTCCTGATCCTTCTCTGCCGCTCATGTCGGCAAGGCCTCCGGTAAGACGAGCGGCGAGGGAAGGCCCTGGACCCAGCGGCACACACACGGCGCCGGCCGACTACCGAGAGACAGAGTCTTACTCTGTCACCCTGGTAGAGTGCCATGGCATCATCATAGCTCACAGCAACCTCAAACTCTTGGGCTCAGCAATCCTCCTGCCTCAGCCTCCCAAGTAGCTGGGACTATAGGTGTTAACACCTGGCTAGTTTTTTTATTTTTAGTAGAGACAGGATCTCGTTCTTGCTCCGGCTGGTCTCAAACTCCTGAGCACAAGCAATGCTCCCACCTCAGCCTACCAAAGTGAGCCACCATACTCGGCCTAAGCGCAGAATTTTAACGTGACCCAGCAATTCAACTCTTGGGTATTTGTCCATAGAGCTGAAAATAGGTACTCAAATGCTATGAATGTTCATAGCAGCAATATTCACAATAGCCAAAAGATGGAAACAGCCCAAGCGTTCATTATCCAATGCATAAATAAACAAAATGTGCTATATACAAACAATGGAATATTCCTTATATAATATACATGGGTGAACTTCATAAATATTATGCTTAGTGGAAGAAGCCAGACATGAAGGTCACATGTTTGTATGATCCCATTTATATGAAATATCCCAAATAACTAAATTCCTAGAGAAAGCAGATCTGTGTTTCCAGCCTGAGGAAATGTTGAGTTGATGCAAAATTTGTTCATATCCGTTGTGTTACTGGATATGAACAAGATACTAAGATAGGGGTATCTGGGAGACGGGGGATCTGCGGAGGAGCTGCTTAATGACTGTGGGGTTGTCTTCTGAAGTGATGAGGATGCTTTGGAACCATACAGAGGCGGTGGCTGCAACAGCATTGTGAATGTACCAACTTCCACTGAATTGCATGCTTGGGAATGGTTGATTTAATGTCATGTGAATTTGATGTCAATTTTTGAACGTTTAAAAGAAAGCTTCATCTCTGCGTTCAGCACAGTGCCCACTACACCAACGTTCTTAGCATCTTAGGGACCTCCCAGCGTACTTCTGCACATACACATACATGGATAGGCTGTTATCACCTTCCTCATTTTTATGCAGGGGCAGCATATTTTATAAATTATTCTGTGCTGTGCCTTTCTCAGCGATTTATCTTGGACATCTATGACGTTATCAGGGCAGTTACTTCATAAGATGTGGCTTGATCTGGTTTGTCTGATATTTCCGGATGATTAGATTCAGACTATCCATCTTTGGTAAGAATACCACAGAAATGCATCTTCGAGTTGCCTCTCATCCACTGGCACACAATTTCGATGTGTCCCATTGCTAATGATAATTATTTGATCATTGGATTAAGGTGATGTCTACTGGTCAGTACTTAAGACTGGAATTAGTCGATACATTAAGGGGCCCTGGTTTCTTTAGTGGAGGATGGTATCTGGGAACGGAAATCTAAGCATTAGGGATGCTTATTGCTGCATGTTGATTCCTTTTATCAGTGCCCCCTGCAACAAACCTCCCATCTTGCCACTGTCCCCTCCTTTGCATGCTTTCCTCACCCTATTCAGGTCCCGACATCCTGTGCCAGTCCCTCCTTCTGCACGGACATCCTCCCCATTTGTTAAGGCTTCAACAACCCACAGTGGGTCTACCCTTTATCCCAGTGTTGACACCCTCTTTTAGGCTCCAACTCACTCAGGCGCCAACAGTCCACATCAGGCCACCCAGAGCTGGGGGCTTCCTTCATCCTACTTGCTGTCCCTCTCCATGTATGGTCACCAACCTCACCTCCTCAGGCACCGACTTCCCACATTAGACCACCTTCCTATGTGGAGACCCTCCTCCTCCTCCTTAGAGTCTGATGTCCAAACTGACTGCCCCTCTATGTGGGTTCCCTCCTCACCCCACCTGGGCCACTGCGGCCAGCCTCTCCCCTCAGCAGAGATGACTACTTTGCTTGGCTATACCTAATGGTTTCATTTTAAGAGTGTTGTTCAGGAAGGGAAGAGGAAGAGCCTTCTATCAGCTCCTAACATTCACCATCACTCTGGAAGAAAGGAACAATTACCCTTATGTCGTGGAAAACACTTAATGATGCCTGGTGCGGTGGCTCGTGCCTGTAATCCCAACACTGTGGGAGGCTGAGGAGGGAGAATTGCTTGAGCTCAGGAGTTCGAGACTTGCCTGAATGAAAGTGAGACCTGACTCCTAAAAAAATGGAAAAACCCAGCTGGACTCTGCGGCAAGCACCTGTAATCCCAGTGGTTTCAGGAGGCAGAGGCAGAGGGATGCCTACAGCCTGAGTCTGAGGTTGCAGTGAGCTATGATGCCATTGCACTCTGCTCAGGGTATAGGGTGGGACTCTGTCTGAACAACAACAACAAAAAGCAAAGAAATAAAAATAAAAAATATGCAAGGAAATAAAAAAAAAAAGAAAAACAATGAGGGTGAGTAATTTACTCAGACTTCCTCTGAGAGCAGAGATTCAAACTTGAATTTAAATCTGCCCCTAGAACCAAGTGCTACCAACTACTGGGCTGTCAACAATATAAAACAATCATGAAACATGTGCTATCACATATACTATATCAATGTTTTCCATGACATCTTCTGCTCCCTCATATGCTGCCCTTTTTATGTAACCCATGGATATGAACACATTTTGAGTCAACTCAACATTTCCTCAGGCTCAGCTCTCTCCCACATCCATGACTGCTACTCCCTCCAGCTGCCTCTGCAGTGATGGACTGCTCAATGTGACTATAGGTCTAGACTCATCTCTCAAATCTTGAGTTACCCGAGGAGTCCAGGCAATGTAATTTTCTGGTCCATGGAGGGGCTGGTCTCTCCATAAATATATAGGCTGTGATTTTTATGCTGGTTTTACATCACATAAACCAAAGCTTTGGGGGATGATGGTTAGATTTTTGATTGATTATAAATGTAGGAGGAAAAAAAAACCATTTATTGAGCATTACCAACCATAGTGTTCTACGTGTTTTGCATTTAATATCTCATTTAATGTTTTGTATATAATATCTCATTTAATGTTTTGGACATAATATCTCATTTAATATTTTGCACATATCTCATTTAATGTTTTGTATATAATATCTCATTTAATGTTTTGCATGTATCTCATTTAATGTTTTACACATTAATATTACAATATTTTACACATAATATATTACACATAATATCTCATTTAATGTTTTGTATATAATATCTCATTTAATGTTTACACATAATATCTCATTTAATCTTTTGCACGTAACATCTCATTTAACGTTTTTCATATAGTATCTCATTTAATCTTTTTCATTTAATGTCGACCTTGTGAGGAAGTGTTAGGAAAGAGCCCCAACTTTAAGTAGCAAGGAGTAAACCTGCTAGCTCTCAGTAAGTACTGAAAGGGGACAAAAAGGCTCAACAGATCAGAGCAAGGCAGTTTATTACACACAGCAGAGCAAACAGCAGGAGCATCATGTTAGCTGTGTCAGTTTCCCAGCTTGCAAGTCCCGGGGATTAAGTGATGGGCCCAGATACACATAGATGTTAGGCACACAATGGCTTCCTCCACAGCTGAGGAACCAGAGCTAAAGGCCTAGAATGTTCTGAGTAAACAGCAAACACTGTAGCAAGCAGCAAACAAGTGGTCCTGCATTGGTCACACTGTGACCACAGTTGTGCTGTGATCACAATGACCTACTTACTTGTTTATGTGCCTGGCTATAGATACTGTTCAATATTTGGAGACAGACAAATGACGTAAATATTGTATCTTAATAGCAGCCTTATAAAATGGGTACTCTTACCATTATCCTCTTTATTGATGAGGAAACTGAGGCAGAGATCACTTGCACATGGCAGAATCAGGATTTGAACTCAGTCTTGGCTCCTAAGTGCAATACTGAGTTTCCTTTTGGGGGTTTCAGAAAAATGACACCTCAAAGCATGATGGTGCTTTGGCATGCTGAGTACTTTGTTTTATGTTTGTTTGTTTGTTTGTTTTTTAAATAGAGTCTCACTTTGTTGCCCTCAGTAGAGGGTAGAGTGCTGTACCATCATAGCTCACAGCAACCTCAAACTCTTGGGCTCAAGCGATCTTCTTGCCTCAGCCCTCCAAAGCTGGGACTACAGGCGCGCCTGCCACAATGGCTGGCTATTTTTAGAGACAGAGTTTTGCTCTTGCTCAGGCTGGTCTGGGTCTTGCTCAGTCTGGTCTGGAACTCCTGAGCTCAAGCGATCCACACATCTTGGCCTCCCAGAGTTCTAGGATTACAGGTGTGAGCCACCACTTCCAGCCTATGCTGAGTACTTTGAACTAAAGCAGTAGCCTCAGAACCAAGGTCTCTCTGACCTTCTCCAGCACCCTTGTCTCTTGCCCTTCTGCCTCTCCTGAAGGCCAGGGAGGAACTTCTCTCTGAAGTTCCTTCATCTACTAATGACCTGATCCAAGAAAGAGCAGCACAGTTGTCTTTAATCTTCTTATTGAAATTTCCTTAACCAAGGAAAATTAAACTCATATTACAGAAGAAGAGATTGAAAATCAAACACCAAACCAAAGCCCAGATGCTTTGTCCTCCACCATTATTTGATCTATGGGTCTATTCACCTCTTCTAAAAGTCATTTACTAATCCCTTTAAAAGTGCCTATGTCTCCCATTCTTCTCTCCCCTGTGAAGAAGGGTATGTAAATTTCTACCTTACTGGGTTATTGGGCATTCACTTTCCCACAATGCTCCTGTGCATGTAAATACATTTGTATGCTTTTTCTCCTGTGAATTAGTCTAGTGCCAGTTTACTTTTCAGACTCAACATCAAAGAGGTAAAAGGCTAGGTGCCTGTGGCTCAAGTAGCTAAGGCTAAGGCTAAGGCACCTGAGTTGGCGGGTTCAAATCCAGTCCGGGCCCACCAAACAACAATGTCGGCTGCAACCAAAAAATAGCCAGGCATTGTGGTGGACGCATGTAATCCCAGCTACTTGGGAGGTAGAGGCAAGAGAATCGCTTGAGCCCAGGAGTTGGAGGTTACTGTGAGCTGTGATACCACAGCACTCTACCCAGGGCGAG